AAGACTCATCAGAACAGGTAAAGTATTTTTCATTTTCTGTTGACAACTTTGGTGAGCCAGTAGGAATTGGGTCACTCATTTCTTGTTCTCAGCTGCCGGGAGTGCCATCCAGTGTGGTCTTCTGCTGCTTTAGCCCATTTAAGTTTTAATCTAGAGATGCTCTTCTGCTGAAGATTCTCAAAAGTTCAGCAGTTTTGGAGATACTCAGACCAGGCCAATAGGCACCAACAATAATACCACATTCAAAGTATGTGTGTGTGTATATATGTATCCCCATCATATCATTGGAGAGTCTGTTTCCAAAGATTTTGCAAAAAAATTGCCAAATCTTCTCTGCCAATGGCAAACAGCTTATTATACTATTATCTCTTCTTTTGTGTCATTTATTGGATTGGATGATTGAAGTCTGGAGAAACAAGGCATATTGGTAATTTAACAATTTCTTCATTTAAGAAACAGAGGCCTCAGTAGCATGTGGACGAATCATACACAGCCACAACAGCCTGGCACCGCCTTCTCATGCTGCTCACCAGCTTGGTCACACACTGATGTGGGATGGCATCCCATTCTTTAAAGAGCATTGTTCCAAGTCAGCCAGTGTGGGTATGTTGGTCATTCTGGCATGAACAGCATGCCCAAGCTGATCCCACAACTGTTCAGAGTGATTGAGGTCAGACCTCCACGGAGGCCTTTCCATCCTCTCCACTCCAAATTCTAGAGGTAGTTTCTAATAAATCCCGCTCAGTGTTTTATCAGTAAAGCTGCAACTTGGTGTTGAGGAACGCCAGCTTGAAGCTGACACTGACTGACCGCTGTACTAGAATCCATGCTGACAGGTTCTGTATATATACATACATATATGCACACACATATATATATGTGGGGTTGCTACAGTAACAAAAAAGAAAAAGAAACTAAAATGTGACTGTGATAAACTATGACACTGCAACTAAAATGAAATGTCTCTCACTCTGCCTTAGGTAACGTCTTCCCTGTTGTGTAGACAGCCTTGTCACAAAGAGAGCAGTGGCTCGTGTTCAAAATATTGTTTCCAGCAGAATTATGCTCAGACCGCATATACACCCTGCATTTCCCCCAATCATACCCCGTCATTTGTTCTAAAATAGTTCTGTGTTTTTACCACATGCAACCCATCCTGTTCTCCTATATTAATTAGAGTGTCATTTATGGAACACCTTTTTAATTAATAGAAAGAGGCATTCATGAGACCTGATGCTTTAGTTTTATTAGCTCACTTCACTTTATGTTCCAAGCTTTCCATTAACAATTCAGACCCCCGCCCCCCTCTTCTCCCACTCACCCCACCAATTACTTTCCATTAACAAAGTGTTTCTAAGTTCACTTTACATATTTTCTAGAAATAAATGTGCAGACACGTACAGGATTCATAAACGAGGCGATGAGTTGTGCCTGCTCCCTCTTCACCTCTTTTCTCTCATCCAGGCATACATTTGATAGATATCACTTTTTCAAGTGACTGTTTATCATAAAAGCCATCTATTGCCAAGAAGCTGCTTTATGTCAATTCTGGCCTGCGAGATACCCGTGATGCATAATACATCTCTGATTCCACAGTTCTGGACAGAGATAGTCATCAGCTTTATAATCTGAGTTATGAAAGATATGAATGAACCTTACAGGGGCTCTAAAAGACACACTAAAGGACTCTGGAATCCACCTTAGTGCCAAATCAAAGGACAGTAAAACTAACTGGAACATGAATATTGACAGTATTGATGGATCATGCGCCACGTTGGCCTTACTAGATTAAGACTTGACAGGAAGAATTAAGAGAGAAGAAAGGGGAATAGGGACACGGGGAGAAAGGAGAGCAGACTGAGACGGAGATTAAGCGAGAGAAGATGTGGAGGCGACAGCCAATAAGAAATTGTTTTAAGGACAAAAGCCTGTCATTTGTATGGTAATCCTGGACTCAGACATAAGCTCCCACTGAGGATTTCTATTGTGGAGCAGAGGAGACTGTTGTATTTAATTCACCTTTAACAAAATAATTATAGAAGTGGAGAAGTGTAATAGTTATGTGTGCTTCTGTGCTGGCCATTTTAGCAACTTTGAGGAAAAAACATGTTGCTCTGCAATACAGCAAAATGTACTTTCAAAATGTATAAAATATGTCAGAATAATAATGCATATCATTTTGGGTGAAAGAATCATAGCCTTTTGTAAATCTTTGATTAGTGCTAACAACCATGCCATGAATTAATCAGTTACAGGACTCAATATCAAATTAATTTCAAGCAAAAACCAGACAGCTCCTTACTCTGGCAAAATCCTTACCAGCCTGCAAAAGATCTGTATTTAATTGTTTAGTCATCTGGCATTTCCTCTAAACAGAAGCCTCTGACTCGCTGCCAAAAAATATAAATGGTAACCATATAAACAGAAGAGTGGCAATAAAATGTTTCTGCGTCTTCGCTCCCGACACAAATGACAAAATGACCCACATTTAATTTTTGATCAGTCACCAGAAATAATCTTGATTTAGGTTTTGGAGTTATGGGAGCGACAGAGCTAACAATAATTGGCTGCCGCAACCAAACTTTCAACAGCCTATTCAACCGTAGTCAAATTCTGTCTTGGACTTAATTCTTATCCCGTTTTATTAACTGCTTGTTCCAATTTGAGGAAAGAAAATGCAGCCACTGCTGAATTGTCGAGACAAAATCTGATGTTTGCAGTTTAAGCCGAACATGAAGCGAACTGAAGGACCAGCAGGGGTAGACAAAAAAGGAGTCATGCACCACACGGATAAATGTATAGTCAGAAAGATCAGATCCCTGTGTGTGAAATAAATTATTAAATCAATTCCCATCTTTAAAAGCCTGCTAGAAATTCTTAACTTAAAGACCTTTTGTTGGCTACGGTAAAATCTATTCGACTGAGTTACAGGAGCAGTCTGGGGGGTGGCTGCAAGGTATTGAAGGCACTTCAATCAGAAACGAGAGGGATGGTGGAAATGTGAAATGAGGGAGATGTATGGACACACACAAATGCACACACGCAAACACACACTTAGAGCGACGCAAACAGAAGAGAGGAGTACAGGGAAAGGCCAGCGGAGGGTGACAGAAGAGGGATTAAAGGGCTCAGTAACGCACGTTTTTCCAGAGCACACTGTACCATATGTGTCAAGGAGATAAGTTATGCATACACACACTAACATTTTGATGTGAGAAAATATGTTGGAGTTAGGGGATGTAGTCATACTGTACAGAGCTATCTGTGCACCTGAGCCCAAGGGAAGTGTCTGCTTATTTATTTGGGGTGTTTGTGCAGACTAAGGCTACTTCTATAGATTTCTGGCCTATAGCAGGAAAACTCTGTGTGATTTAGCTGTAATGAAGCTTAATGTCACTATCAATCATATTTCTCACTTTGCTCCCAACGAGGAACTGAGATCAGCATGCTGACCCCTCCACTCGACTGCTCTTTCATTTTCATTTGTGTAAGTCGGCGTGCGGACGCTAAGAGAAATCTATGAAGCGTGGCAAAAAGAGACATTGGAGGTATTTTTTTGTTTACAAAAGCTCATTATCTAGGTATTGGGTAAACAGCTACTGCTTGTGTGTGTGCCAGACACTAGAGCTCTGACAAATGACAAAATAACATGCACAGTACACACACCATTAATCAGTACCTGTCTGTCTTCCAAGGCACTTAAAGGATATTCCTGAAACACCAATCAACATCATGTGTTTGCGGGTTATTACAGCACATCTGTGGCACCAGCATACACAGAGTCCTCTCCAACTGTCTCAGCAGCCCTTCCAACCAAATTATTCACATCCACACTTCAGCTGTGTATTAATTTGGCTTTTGAAAGATTCATTTTAGTTAAATTACTTACTGCATTGTCATTGGATGTTTTGCCCCCCCTCCTATAGAAGATGAGGTATCTGACCTATAAAAGGGTCCTCTCGTGTCTCATAGACTTCTAAGAAACAAGCATCATAACCTCTCTAATCTGGTGACTGAGGTCACACTGCACTGAAACATTTGTCCTGGGGCAATGGCTGACAAATTACAGAAGGCTGGGAGCAGAGAGAACAGGCCTTTTTAGACTTTTTAGCTGTTCAGAATAAGAGCCCCTAAGAGGTCAGGGCCACAGAAGACCAAACATACAAGTTATAAATCCAGGCAATGCTTAAATATTGACCGATCGCGTCCTCTGCGTTTTTAATAACAACTTTCCCCAATAATCTGATTTGAAACACCCACACAAGCCCACACGTAAGGGTTTTTGGGCCTCAATTCCACATAGCAACAAGAAATACAGGCACGATGGAGGTTAAACTTTTCCATTAGCCAGCATAATGAAATTGTAGAATTAAGCAATGCATATCCTATATAGCACATCAAATCTACTGGAGAGTAAGCAAAGGTTAATTGCTAGTTACTGAGGGAGACCATTTGAAACTGCTTACCCAGGTGGCAGATGTTTCACTGTAAATCTCAGAAACGAGGGCTTTAGGGAATACATAAAAAGGGAATAGCCCAATGTAGGCATTCCTTGCTGTAACTGTTCTTTAATTCTTCTCATTTGAATTCAATAGAAAGGATTTTTTGTAACACTTTATATGTGTAGATTTGCACAAACGCGCCTCTTGCACAAAAGAAAAAAACAACAACTTAAGATTAAGGTGTCTTTTAAAATATGTTTTCTTTTATGCTTTCATATTGCCTGTATTGTCTTAACAGTATTATCACCAGTCGCCTCTGCGCACACAGGGAGACGAGAAAACCTGTTGCAGCAGCGCCCTTTAAACAGAACTGCAAAGCTGACCATAAAATTCTCCGAGACATTCATGCACCTGATCTGTTGAGATCAGAGTGATTTGATGGCGGTGCAAAAGAAATGAGTACTTTCTAGACACAGTGATATAAGGTTCTGATGTTGTACTGATGCGCAACGGATTCGGTGCGCCGTGCGTAAACGCTACAAGCAGCTGCATTCATACCTGTCGTCGCTCTGCCAGTCCCCGAGCAACAGGTCTCGGAACCGGTACCGAGGGGGCAGCGGGAGCACCTCCTTCTCCAGTTCGACCATGGTCCCCCTCCTCAAAACCCAGAGACAGAGACAAATACCACCGCAAACCGCAACTCCACAGCGAGGAGGTGATCTCCTCCAAAACCAACTCAGTTCCTCTTCCTTCTGCTATTCAGAACATAAATCAGTAACGAACACATTGATACACCTCATGGTACCGTATTCGTCCTTCTTCAGAAAAAAAAGAAAAAACATCTCTCTTCTCTGCCACCCGTCACAATGCAGCTCTACTTTTCTTCACACTGAGGCAACAGGTCGAAGATGTTCATCCGTCGGTGGGTAGGGGTGGCTCCACTTTTCTGTGACAGCTGGAGAGCAACTGGTTGTCTCTCTTTAACACCAGCATCCTCCCTGCCTGAGCTCCACATGGACGCACTGACTGCAAATGTGTAAAGAAACGTCGAGGAGAAGCTGTTGCCACTTTCCTCCCCTCCCCTTAGTCTAACCAAAATAAACATCGACAAAAACTGTGATTTTAATATTATTTTCAATTAGCAATAAGCTCTCTCTCCGTCCACATCTGCTCTACACTGTGAACGATAATGATCTCTGTAACCCACGATAATAATAATTAAACTGTTACACATACGCACACGTGATGCCCAGAAATATCTACTGCACTGTAGAGACCAGCGCGGATCTCAGTCGTGAGTCTATTTCGGCGCTATAGTTTTCCACATTTTTCTTCAGTATTATTCTTTTCATAAATATCAGCTGTTGGTGGTTTTCAATCAGGAGACGTGTTTGTCATGTTGGGAATTGCTCTGCTTTAAAAATTAATGAGAGCAATTTATTTAGTGCAAGGCTTTGGTCGTACATATTCATTTCCAGACACTTAACACGATTCTGCACGGCTTACCAAATGAGCTCTGAGTGCTGCTGCTCTCTTACTATGTATACATATGCTAAGTGTATTCAAAATACCCAATCAAAGCAGAAGATGCAAAAAAAAAAAAAAAAAAAAACCCCACACAATTAATCACAGACTTTAAATAAATAAATAAAATGGAAATCCAGGCCACCATTTGAATTCTGCATCCTCCCTTAATGGACATAATCAATACACATAGGTAATTAAGGGAATAAAAGCTTGCAAACTTACCGCTTTACAGTTTCAATCAGTACTCAAACATCTGTGCTATATATTAGTCGGTCACACCTATCAGGGGTTTAATCTTGTAGAAACTCTTGGTCACAACAGAAGAGGTGATGAAATTCAAATACGGTGCTTAAGAGGCCTGTTGACCCAAAGCTGCAGACAACAGGTGTTATTCAAATTAACTTTCATGGATTAATATTGATAAAGCAGCCCCTCCGTGGGCTCCACACAAAACCAAAACGTCAAAAGGTTTACTGCCATCTGAGGTTGATTAGATCGATGTTGTGCTTGGATTGTAAGCATGTTGGCGTCAGTGCGTTTGTCCACTCAAATGACTCATCTAAATGTAAATGTTTGTTATTTTGCGCTTCCAGACAGATTAACTTTATCCCCAATTAGGAAACTTGCACAAACATATTCAGTTTGTGCAAGTTGCACAAGTTTGTGCAGTAGTTGCATCCATTTCGCCCTCTGGTGGCCAATCAGGAAGCAATCTTCATTTATCTTTGCAAACAGCTGACAACAATTTGTCTGTTAAAATTAAAGTTAAAAGCTGAGAATATATACACGTCGACTATTACTCTGCCTTTGGTAAAAAGGAAAAAAGGTACCTCTGTAATACACTTGGCCATTAAAACATTAAAGAGGTTGACAGGAAGGCAAAAATATTTAATTTCAAGTGGGTGAGCCTGTAGCCATGGTAACAACACAAAACTGTCTGCGGATATCAGAGGAAATAGTTCATGTGTTTCAAACCTCATTTAAACTGCATTCAGTCTAACATTACCATAATGTGTACTCTGAGGACAATCTGCAGAGGCTGCGTAAAGCAGCCTGTTGCAAGGGGCAATTGGGCTTTATTCCAGTAGATTAAAAGCCATTCTCCTCACCGCCAACAAAACAAGCAATTCATATACAAATACAGACAACGAGTAGAAAACAATCAGCCATAAAAAAAGTCATTTAAAACAATATAAAATCTGTCAGTTGAGATGAATAGCAAACAGTCATCTCCCAGCTTCTAGTCCAAAGTCACGTTAACAGAAGCTAAAGCATCCACAGCCCAGCTGGGGTACTGGTCACCAGAAGGAAACAGTCGCTTCATGAACGTCCGTATGAACTCAGGGAAGCGGCCTTCCACAATGCTCTCTCTCACAGAGCGCATCAGCGTGAGCTGCAAAGACAAATGATTGATGAACTGAGGAAAAATAATGCGATTATTATTGATCTGCAGTGGGAAATGATCTTTTGCCGTGCACAAGGTCAGCTACAGGTCAGTGTCCTCTGAGGCAGTATGTTAATGTTTTGCAGCGATCCATTAAAAAGTTAATGAGGCATTAAACTCTGGATCAATCATAGAGTGACCGTCCGATGGTCAACCATCACTCTTGGACACTCCAGAACCACCATACAAGTGGCTTAAAATGAAAAAATAAAGAACAAGCAAACAAATAGGATGCGTAATCGATTGGATTATATTGGTTACGATTTCCTAACACCCATTTTGGCGACACATCTGTAAGAATATTTGGCTTTTTGTGCTTCTGATTATGTCAAAGCAACAAAACGAGTTGTGCCCCTGCTATACAAACCATACTGAAGGATTTAATAGCCATCACTGAGAGAAGGCTATCGTCATGTCACATAAATTTGAAAAGATAGACATTTTTCCTCATATTTCTGCCAGAGAAATTCAACTTTCAAACATACTGTGAAAAATATGTCGCACGTCAGGCTTATTGACTGAAGATGGCAGATACAGGAGAATAATAAACTGATTAATCGTCAGATTTATTCCATGCATGTGCCTGTTTAGTATGTCGCCTGCTTTGAAGCACATGAGAAAACTGTCAGAATAAAATAAAGAAACCTGTACTTTCTCAGTCATAGAAGATTTTGCTCGAACTGACCTGGTAGGCAATGTTGTGGATAGTGATGTGATGCATGGCTGCAGTGTCACTCTTAAACAGAGCATGCAGGTAAGCTCGACTGTGCCTGAAAGAGGAAATGCAGACATTATTTACACCAAAGTGCAAATCACTCGGCTTTTGTCTGCAGGACATTTTAGACCAAGTGATGCCAAAGGACTTATTTTTGCTAGTCTTCAAAGATATGTTATTATCTAGATTTAATTTTCTCAAAATAAATTAATATAAAATGAAAACAGGTAGAATAAGAGCCAGCTGGCTAAATGGACTGTTCTAGGGCACTAAAAAGAACTTTCTAGGCTTCAATTTGTCTCACAGTAAAGAAAATGCTTTGGCAAACTGACTTACTTCTTGCAGGTAGGACACTGGCAGTCTGGGTCTATGGGCTGGAAATCTTTGGCATACTGCTTATGTTTCACTTGGAGAGTTCCCCAGGGCACCAAGGCAGAGCCAAACCTCTGAGAGAAAAGAACCATGACTGTCAGAACAGAATGAAATACATCTGAAGTCAGTTGTGGATCCTAATGCGATTTCTCAGAAAATAAAGACGGATTACCGCAGTGCGTGTTGGGAAAACGCAGTCAAACATATCACATCCCAGGGCGACGCATACCACCAGATCCACAGCATACCTACAACACATGACCATGTGAATTTATTACGTGGTTAAATGTACCACAGCCAATATTCAATTACATTTTATTTAATCACAACAACCGTCGCCTCAAGGCACTTTATATGGTAAGGTAGACCCTGCAATATTACATACAGAGAAAAACCCAACAATCATATGACCCCCTATGAGTAAGCACTTTGGCGACAGTGGGAAGGAAAAACTCCCTTTTAACAGGAAGAAACATCCAGCAGAACCAGGCTCAGGAGGTAAAAAACCAGGTTCTCATGATGGATTTCAGTGAAAACCAGTAAACATACCCTACACCCATGAGATAGCGGGGTTTTTCCCGAGGCAGGTGATCAGTGCTTAGTGTCACCATCCGCCAGAAGTCATCCTTCTCTTCTCCTCCACTCAGTCCGCCAATGGCAAAACCAGGAACATCACGCTTAGTCATTTCTACAGGAAGAAGAAACAATATCTTAAGTGAAAGTCTGATCCCTTATCTTGAATTCTGATGTCCTTTCCAAACTGCATGGCCCTTTAAATAACTCGGATTAGTTCCTCACCACGCACTGATATCTTTGATTCACATATGCTTCCTCAATAGACTGAAACATGTAAACTTTCTAGTTAATGCTGCCACTTTTCCACTTACTGAAATAAGTGTAAGAGGAAAAAGTGATCAAGGCATTTTAGCGTGTTTTCAGCCTCCATAAATAAGATGAAATTATTCAGCTTGATTTTCAAAATTGGTACATGAAGAAAGTGAAAGAGCAAGATTAGTTACTGGAGACCCACTCATATTAATTGCCTGTTAAGTTTGACCAGTAACAACACATTATAGATCTAGTGGTCATCAGCATACGGTCATGTAAGTCCATGGAAAAAAAGAAAAGAAAATCCAGTAAGTGCCTCCCACCTGAGCTCCTTAGAAGCAACAGATTTCCTTGTAAAAAACAAAAACAAAACAAAAAAACTTGGTATGTGTTATGAAGCTATTTCCCAGTTTTTAGGTTCTTAAAGTACATATTGGTGGATACACTGTTTTTTAAGACATTATAAAATTTGACAAAGAATAAATCATGGCTAGAAAATGGTATCAAAATTTAGGTAAATATATTCGCTGTAACTTGTTTTGACCAGACACCCATCTCATGTATTAATATAACCCTGTGCAGTTTACACAAATGTGCTTTTTTGATGTTTTCTCCAGTGAATTATGAGAAAAAATAAAAAACCCAGGGTACCAAGATTAACTTGATTAACAAGAATATTAACAAGATAAACTGGTGACGCTGTGGTGTTGAAACTGTTATGTCTCTCTGATATTGATGCTCAAACGCAGGTTAAAAAAAACAAGCTGAAAAAAGATGAGATTTGATTTTGACTTCTGACATTTGAATGGGTGTAGAATGTAGAATGGGTTTGTTTTTTTTTTTAAACACAGCCCAAGTGTGTTTTTTCAGCGGGGGAATTTAATGTGACTATATTCTGCATTTAGGTTATTTCAGCTCTAAAATGCTGGAAAAATACAGTGAATAGTGCCACGAAAAGTGCTTTATATTAGCCCACCCCACGTATGTCTAATATGGCTTTGTTTTCTTCGAGAAGCTGTAACTCAGCACATATCCTCTGCAGCACATGTAGCAGAGGGCACATCAGCTGAGCAGACAGTGGTGAGGATGCATCAGCATCTTCACATTTCACTGATAGTTTGTGATAAACAAAACTAATAATTCCCCTACTTTAACCTAACTTACATACTGTCTGAATATATAAGATAGTACCATCAAAAAGCAAGAACATTTCCCTGTGTGCTTTTCTTCCCGCATGCCTGCCAATTTTACATCAATCCGATCACAAACGGGGGATCTTAAAGGACTTAATAGTCAAATTTCAGCCTTTATATCAATGTGTGTTTGTAAAGCACATCAGCCAAAATATATTTATCATTAAAGGAATCTCAGTGTCAGCATCAGCCTCTGTTTGTTTGTTTTTTTACCATCTAGACAGGCCTTGCGCAGCTCTGCATTCAGTCCTCCCTGAATGATGGCAAAGAGGTTTTGTTTGTCTCGATTTTTATTGGCTGCTATACAGCGGTCCAGCCAGCGAACGGATCTATGCATGGCCTCTTCTACCCGTGGTCCTGTCACAGTACTGCTGACCACATCATCCAGCTGCATCATGATGTCTGACCCTGGAAGAACACAAAGAAACATGGATGTGCTGTCCGTCAGCCACAGAAATACTGACGAAAGCTCAGAGTATCTGCTGGTTAATGCTGAGTCAGTTATTTTACTCCTTGCTGACCCAGACTGTTCTGTATGCTGATAGACTTCTCAGGACTTAGTAAGATTTCTTTGCCGTCGTAGGGGGACCTGAACTTGACTCCTTCCTCCGTAACTTCGGAGAGCTCAACGAGAGACACCATCTGAAACCCTCCACTGTCCTGTGAGCAAAGAAAAAGAAACGCGTGGTTTTTAAGACAAAGGTTTCCAGTCACATGTTGTACTTTTATTTGTCATCCACGTATGACAAATAAAATGTGAAGTTAAACTCACAGTTAAAAGATTTCTCTTCCAGTTCATGAACCCATGCAAACCATTGGCTTTCTCAATCAAATCGGGACCCTTTAGGTAGCAGAAAAAACATTTACACAAGAAAACTGACATGAAATCGTCAACAAATGGTTTATGCCCAGTAAAACACGAGATAAAAATTAAATTTGCATTATAGCAAACCTGCATACCGGTCTCATTCCAAGGTGGTATGTGTTTCCAAGGCAAATCCGACATCCCAGATCTTCCAGCTGATCCACAGTGATTCCCTTCAGGGTCCCCTGAGTCCCGACGGGCATGAAAACCGGGGTGCTAACGGTGCTATGCGGCAGTATTAGATCACAGGCTCTCGCTTTAGTTACTGGGCATTCAGCAACAATTCGCAAAGAGAGAGGAGACAAAGCTTTCTTTAGGGACATGTTGTTCTCTATAGTTTCTGTATTAGCCCCACACTCTATGGGGGCAGCCATGTTTTACCGATCACGTGACATGAACGGACCTCCAACTGACGATCGTGACGACCAATTAGAAATTAATTATCTGATTCGAGCGTTAAGACGTCCAATCAAAACGAATTTTGGTGAAGCGGCAGCAACATTAGCCAATAAACCGCTTTTATTTGTGCAAGGGAGGCGGGGCTATAGTAACCGGCACCGATAGGATGTCATCTTCTGTGACCGGATGGTGTTTGTGTAGAGGAAGTTTTGCTTGCGAGTTTTCCGTCCGTTTCGATTGTCTGGGTATTTAGTTGAGGCATTTTGTTATTATACGATATGATATTGGTGTGAACTGCATTACTGGGAAGCGCACAAGTATTCAAAAAGTGAATAAAAGCCCGAGCTGAAGAGGCGGGGTTTTAGCACTCTAGAGTAACCCGAGAGCACCTTGCTGCTAAGCTAACGTTACTGAGCTCGCTAGCGCGGCTAGCATTAGCCTCTGGTCTGTGTTGAATTGAAGGGGCTCTTCAAGCTCACGAAGCCATGGGGAACCGGGGCATGGAAGACCTGATTCCCCTCATCAACAAGCTTCAAGACGCATTCAGCTCCATTGGCCAGAGTTGTAATTTAGACCTTCCTCAGATCGCGGTGGTCGGTGGGCAGAGCGCTGGAAAAAGCTCGGTCTTGGAGAATTTCGTTGGCAGGTAAGTGATAATAGTTAAATGAGCTAGTGTAGTGTTACGCCCTTCTAACAGGCCATGCTTGGTCGTACGTTGTCAAACAGCCCTTTTTTTGGTCTGGGAGGTACGGTACTTTTGGAAATGCCAGTGGCATTAAGCTAAGCTAACGTCACTTTCCCAGTACGTAACGTCAATATTGATTTACGCACTTGCGCTGTAGGTTCAACAACTTCAGATACATACTGTTCTTGTGTATTTATGTAGTGTGATATTTGTGTTACGAGCTTAAAAAGAAGCTTACTTTTTCTCTCTTTTCTTTACTTCTTACAATTTTTTTTTCAACTCGATTGGACCACCAACTGTTGTCTTGCATTTGCTGATAAATTCGTTTGTCCTGCCCAATATCTTTTAATATGATTAAAGGCTTGTTCTGGGTTGCCATTTTTTTCAATAGACCTTAGTGCACGTAATCTTTCCTGTAATCTAGCTTAATGGGCTTTTCCCCCTTTTGTTTTCATATTGATAACTACAGGCCACGCCCTGAGAGTCCTACAGAATTTACATTACCAACCATTTTAAAAGCTAGAAGGATGACTGTTTGTTTTACAAGGGAGGAAGTTTTATTGGATGGTAACTGGCAAGGTGTATGGGGTAAAAGGGGTATCGCAGTGTAGGCAGAAAGTCACCTAACTTGTATTTTTACAGCTACTTATTGCATTTTGACACAAAACTTTGACCTCAAAGCAGACTGTCTCTCTTTACAGTGCTGACATTTCCTCAACATAGCAGACATAACTTCCCTTACCAGCTTCCTCTTTTGTTTCTGTTTTTGGCCAACGTTTAGAAATTACAGAAACAGACTTGACATCACTGTTTTTTGAGATGCATTGCTTTTAATCTACGGTCCTCCTTACCAGACTGGCTCTATCATTGTCATCAGGCTGGTCTTGTTGTTGTTGCCTGCAACAGCAATGAGTGAGATCACCCTGCAGTAAAAAGAAACATAACAAGTTTGCTCTGTAGTAGCTTGTTTAACAGGATTTCACCTCCTTTGAGAGACAATCAGTGTTTAGCCCAACCCACACACATATGCAGGCTGGTCGGCAGACTGGAGAAGGCACATTGGCTATCAAGATGGCATGCACATAGGCTTTTGGTTATAAAAACGGAGACAAGAGCATGTTGTAACTACTCTCGGGCAAGAACATGCATGCAGATTAGACTTCCACTCAGTGTGCAGTAATTCAGACGAGTGGGACTTTGTGCTGGGAGAACACTCGAAACAAATCGGCAGCAATTAACTTGAGACATTTCATGGTGACCTTGATTTGCTTTCGTGCTGTTTTTCCACTTTATGCGTGTTTACAGGGCAAACATACATCCATGTGCTGACAAATTATTGTAGCATTGTAGGCTGTTCACTTTCATGTACCTTTCATAAGGTGTGCTTAATATTGAAAAGAACACCATTTACTCTGTTTGCATGTTGATGCTGTGCGGGTGAATTTAATGAGGGCTGACCAGGTGAAACAATCTTACTTCAACCTCGAAGCACGGATCTTGGAATTTGTTCCCTCCAATGGGCATTTTGACATGTAACAGCTGTTTCTTGATTTTTAAAATGACACCTAAAAACACAACCATATGAGGACTAATGATTATCCAATTAGTGCTATGTACAGGATTAGTGCCACTGGGAGCCACACACCACAATTGTGATGCTAACACTGGGTTGTTTTTGGCACCTGTGAGGCATGGCTACTGGAAACAAATGGAGGAACATGTTGAATTGTTTTTTAACTTCAATTGTAAAACCCTTGCTAAACCTGTATGTTGGCAAAGCTACGTATAGGTGTCCTGAGATTCAGACAGATCAGTGGTTGATTTGGGGAAAATTTCATTTCCTTCTGCTGTGCAGATCATTTGGAGTAGTAAAATAAGTCAGGCTAGGCACACCTTAGGAGTTGCTGTACACTGCTAAAGCATTAGGCAAACTCATGAGTCATTGTTGACTAAAAGGTTTCTTTGAACCGATACCTAAACTTTGTACCATGTGTTCTACTCATTTAAAAAAAAAAAAAAATTCAAAGCAGATGAAAATGGTGCGTGTAATGGTGTTGTGGAAAACTTCATTTGCAATTCTCTGTGGTTACGCCATTTTTTTGTGTTCTTTTTTCTTTTCACCATGAGTACTGAGCTTCTGTTACACTCGGTAATGGCTGCTCTGTAATTTCCCCAGTGACTGAGATCTTTTCTTTGGTGAGGTGCATGTTGTGTGTAAAAGGCTGGCTTCATCTCTGTGTCCTATGGGATGAAAATAATCCCTCTGTTTTCTTCCCCCCCCCCCCTTTGACGTACCAGCAACAATAGAAACAGTGTCACTTATTGCTGGGAAAACAACTGGGACAATGGAGTGATGATTCTGCCACAGACAGTAAAAGCTGCTCGCTTTCTCTCTCTCACCTGAACTTCATGCTGATGTCATGATCCACAGGTGCCAAGTGACCTCACCGCCTCACTGTTAATTTAGCAAATGTTTGACCGCCACAAAAAGCCCGTCGGATGCTGCTTGGTTTCTGCTTCAGATTTCCTGGTTTCACTGGAGAGGGAAAAAGTTGGGCTGGTTTTGGTATCATGTGACCTAACTTGCTATTCTTTTGGCCTCTGCTTTCAACAGCATTATTGTGGAAGACAAATATGTTTTACGTGGTTGATCCACATTCTTGCTGGGGAGAAGATTGTTTAATAAATTAGCTTGTGTTTCAGTCTGTTGGTACGCATCTAATCTTATTACATTATCCACCCAGCCAACTTAATGAGTGACCTCAGGTTTTACTGCAACACTGACTTGATTGACTAAATAAATATTTACAATAGTCTGTATTGCTTTGAGTTAATTTACTGGTCCTTACCAGAAGATATACTAAGGTATTACAAAGAAAAAAGTAATCTGTGTAGTTAAGAACTATCTTGAATAATAAGCAAATTTTCTTTCTGTGTGTGTTACTCTACTGAAATATTTATGGACCAGTGCAAGTATTTTCAGTTCAGAGATGCTGATCACACCCATGTCTCTGTTTTGGCTTTGGTGTGTTGTGATTTCATTGTATCAGTTGGGCGCAAAGACATCATATCTTGTAGTGCAAGCTGGCCTGGGCGGAGGTTATTATCAGATCTGTGGCAACTACACTGCAAAAACAGACATTTTTTTTTTGAAGTGTTTGATCAGTTAAGTTTAAAGGGGACCTATTATGCTCACTAGAATAGAGTGGCTTTGTTGTTATCTCCTTTTGTGCAGCTCTTCATTTCAGCCGCCATCTGAAACAAGCTATTTTAGCTCTATCTTCAAGGACTTCCTTCCTTTGAACTGACTTTCTTCTGATTAGCTACCCTTCACAAATAGCAAATTTGGATACCAAGCAACTATATTAAGGATATCCTGTACACGTCACAAACACCCAAGAATAGGTGAAACTGTCAGAAACTCTCTGAAGCTTAGAACTTTGTCTTGATCTGATAAAATATTTTAAACATTGCTCTGCTTTGATTTAATGGCACATTTATCAAAATATGACCATGTTGACATAAAACCTATTCACTCAAGGTTGATGGTCAAGCTTTGCTGTCCTTTCTGCAAGTACTCTGGCATGATGGCCGGAATATATGGAGCAATTCAAGCAGAAGTGTGGATGCTTTTGTGTAGTGCAGTCAAAGAAGAAGGAGCACACTCAGTTGAGTGGCAGAGAGTGAAGGGATTTTCCACTAAGCAGTTGGATTTTGGTAGTGCTTCAGGAGACTTTGCTGCCTAGCAATGGCTCTTCGTGCTCTCATTGACAAACTGCGGAGCGGGAATGTGGATTGCCATAATTATATGTTCATAGCCACTCCAGAGACCTCCTGAAGTCCCACCAAACCACAAACACATTTTTTTTTTTTTTTTGTGCTATGCCCTCCTGGGAGGACCTGCTGTGACTTTAGCATTTTTCATTTAGGTTTGCATGCTTGAAAAGGAGACTTTGTAGCCCTGTATAGGCACGAGGAGAAGGAGGACAGGGTTGCTCTGCCTGTTTGTAAGAGGCAGAGGGTATAGGGGCTGGCAGGCAGGGGGAGGGGAGTTGGCTCTCATTCTCTCCCTTCCCTAGTCTCTCTTGATTTTGCTTTCTCTTGTGTTCAAATGAAGGGAGGGCAGCGCATGGATTGATGCTCTTTGCTTGGCAATGCATAATGCATCAAATGATACACAAGCTGCTCAGCCTCTTCTATCATTTACAGCGCATCAATAATGGAACCCTGGCCTCTTGCTTCTTTTCAATATGTCACCGCAGTTTATCCAATTCTGTCTGCGCAGACGGACTGGCTCAATTCTGTCTTTGCTGTATGTCTCCTCAAAAGAGCACTTTGAACCAAATATTATGGGCACTTTATTTTATTGCTGTGGATCTTTCACCAGTGACCACTTGTAGAGACCGTAAGATGGGATTTCACTACCGAGAAGTCAGTGAGAGTAACTTGTAAGTGGAGAGTATCCTTTACCACCAATGCTTGCTGAATTTCCCTAGACAGCTTCTTCATACTATTTTCCACATCTGATCTAATCTTGTCAGATCTGAAACGCACAACGTGGCTTTCTTCTTTTTCTCTCTCCTTTTTTTTTTTCTAAATCTGATCCACAGCTTTCTGCCTTACACAGCACCAGTGCTGAACCACTGACCTGTGGATTTTTGCTGACCCCTGGTCAACTGGTGAGAAGGTTCGGGATATTCCCCACTGTTTGATCACAGTCTAGGCCTAACAAGCAGTGAGTAGTATGGAAGCTCCCCTCTTTTATCCTGTGGGTGACACATTGCTTTCATCCACAGGGCCCTTAGACATGTAGGCCTGGTAATGAGAAGAAAAAGAGGATGTGGGTTAGTGACGCACTCATCACTTCTAGCAGTATTCCTGGCCTAGGAGTACTGATTACCACCAGATGTAGTATGTTTGTAGGGCAGCAGACTTGACATTCAAAATTTATACGAGTCTGCAGAAAACTGGGTGGAGGCGTTTATCTGAAGGCTGACTAAGCAGGGTTATCCATGTGGTTAAAAATTCCATAGGTACTCTGTCACTTTAAGAGGAACAAAAAAGGTAACTGTGAGTAACTTCTCATTGTTTCCTATAAGCTTGGTGTCTCAGTTGTGCACTGTTGCACCCGTTGTTTGTTTGCTGTCATCTAAAGCTTATGCACTGCATTACATTTTGCAGTTGGCATGATGAAAGCCAGTTGTAGGTGCACCTATTCAACCTATTCTCCGACCTGGGGCCTAGTGTGGGAAAAGCATTACATGTTGCTGGCATTGACACAAAATCTAACAGCTGCTAGCTGAAACTGTAGGCTGGAGATCTGAATCTGATAATGGCTTGTTTTTCAAGTTTGTTTACAGATAGTGAAACTACATTTATGTTACCCAGCAGAAATTTTGAACAGGATGTTATGTTCCATAGTGTGAGATGTGCTTTTCTTCATTTTTCAAAAAAAAAAAAAACTGCACATCCAAAGCCAACATTTGTAAGACCCTAACAAACAAAAACCATTATTTCATGGTTACAACTCGTGATGATGTTCAGTTAAAATCAATACAATGAAGTTTAACGTCTGCAGTTGTGGTCCCTTGCTGTGTTCATATTTAGGAAACCCATGCAATGGTGACTTATTTGTTGATAGTTTTGTGTTTGGCATCTACCATAACAGATTTACAGGATTTAAAAACAAAACAAAACAAAAATGGAATGGATCTCATCTCTTTAACTCACTTTCAAAGAAGGCCCAAAAGTGCATAAAGACAACCAAAAGACAAGCCATTTGGCCTGCTTTGAACATCACTGACACTTTGTGGAGTTATCCAAGCGGCTGTAGAAAGTGGTAATGGTGGACTTAAAGGCAGCCTTATGTAAATGTGTTATATTCATGTAGATAAACCAGCAGAAGAAAGGGATTGACTCCAGACAAGGTGTTTTGCTATGTTACAAAACCCAAACTCCAGACATTTTATATACACAAGCTATGTAGCACACTAAAAGAGAAAAACACAAGACGGAATAATATAAGACATCATTACAGAGGAAAAAAGTCAAAACTCAAAGTTGCCTCCTCAGCTTTGCTGCCACACATCTTCTCCCCTGGAGTTGAAGTAAGCTTTTGGATAATCATTCCAACACTGAATTTGCTTTAGCTGTAATACAGATAAATGCACCGCCTATGCACGTCTTCAAGCTGAGCTTTAAACATAAAAGAAACATACAACAGAAGTGAAAAGATTTTCTTGTTACACCAAAAAGTTTCAAGACACACGGCTGGAAGCATTATACACAGGTTTAAATGTTACAGGGGGAAACTTTTCTTGATGTTGAAGAAAAGGCAAAGCTATTTGGTGAGGAGAAGAATAAATGTATTCCAAAATTGCTGAACTATTGATACAGATGATAAGTTGCATAATGTTATTCAACTTACAACTGTATTCAGTAAACCATACAACTCTCTGTGGGTATCTGGCGTGGTCGGTGTCATAGGGCTGAGCTAGTCGATTCATATTTAATTTTATTATTTATTTATTTATTTTTAAATTCGGTCTTTCAGCCTATTCATCTGCTTTGAGAGGGATCGAGGTTCCACAGTTACTAACTCCATGAAAATTAAAGATTTAGCTATAAAGCTTGTCCATCTGTGCTTGTTCTTGGGGCTTGTATGATATCTCAGCAGGAGACCTGCTGGTGGTCTTGTCAAGACTGGCTTCCCTGCCATCACACTTTCAGACATTTAGAGTGGCGCCTGTCCACCTTTGGTTTTAAAAGGATTAATGCTAGTCGTGAAGCTTTTAATGCACTTACTTCAGGGTAATTTGTTTTTGACAAGTCAAGTAATGGTATCTTCTCATAATCCAGTCTGTTTGTCCGTTTTGTACTCTGCCACGCTCTATTAAATTTTATCTTCCGAATCGGTGCAATTTCTAAGTGGAGCATCAAAGTTTTAGTTAATCTTTTCATAAAATATGAATCGCATCACTAGAGTGTTTTTCCAGGTTTTAGAGGTTGAATATTTCTGACTGAAACTGTAGTCATATTTTTCTCTTGTCAGACAACAAATTTTAAAACATTGTTTCCTATGTTACAATAAAAGCTTAGCTGGTTATTGGTCGATACTGGCATTTAAAAGTATTACAAAGAAAGTTGGGGACTCAAAGTTGTGTTCTTAGCCTAATTGCGACATAGTGACTCAAAGCTTTTGAAAACCTCCGTTTACTGAGGACACACTGAAGCCTTTGTGAGACTTTATTGGTTTAATGTTTGCTTCCTCTTTGTCTAGTTTTTTTTCTGTTTTTCTTTTTTAAGATATTGCATCAAATATTAGTTTAACTGTTTGCAAACCATTGAACTGTGAATCGCAAATGCATTTAAAGCGCTAAGATAAGCACAGGTGCCTTCATTGTGTTCTAAGAGTTGTCATTGTGTTCTAAGGATCACTGTCTGTGGACGTCCCGGAGGATCTGTTCTTAGATGGCATTATAATTACACGCTGTTTGGTTCATTATGAAAGGAGATCCATAAATTGAAAAATGAAGTTGGTGTAAGCCATTGCAGATATGACCATAAATTCTATTTTAGGGTGCATTTTGCTCATATTAGCAGCAGTGGGTGTGCCTGTATTGGTCTGTCTTGCTGTAATGATGAGAGAAAATGACTTTGTCGCATCTAATTTGTTGTGAGTGAAGTTGGAGGCGTGAAATTCTCCTGTGCCCATCAATTTACCAGAGGCCAAACGATGGGGAAATGGACATTGAGTGCAGTAAAGAATTGATGTAACTTTTTCTTTCTTCCTGTCTCTTTCTTTTCATCTTGATTGCTTGTATTATGTCTTTTGTGTCACTTTTACAACATATCTGGTGTTTATTTTTTTTTATTTTTTCTCTCTGTCTCTTTCACGCAGGGACTTCCTTCCACGTGGCTCAGGCATTGTGACCCGCAGACCTCTCATTTTGCAGCTGATCAACAATAAAGCAGGTGAGTATGTCAGTCCTGTACACAGCCACATCCCAATCTCCTTTTGTAGATGCCCTGCATATGGCCTTTCAGTCACAATGCCTCAAGCTAGGCACACTGTCTTCTATTTGCTGCTTTCATCCATTTAATTTAATATTTTCTCTCTCGCTCTCCCTTTCCTTTTTGTTCCCTTTGTCCTCTGTCTCCCCTTCTCTCCCCATCTCCCTTGTAAACGTCACCCTGTCACTGTGTGTAGAATATGCTGAATTCTTGCACTGCAAAGGAAAGAAGTTTGTGGATTTTGATGAAGTGCGGGCAGAAATTGAGGCAGAGACCGACAGGATAACAGGCTCCAACAAAGGCATCTCTCCTATCCCAATTAACCTGAGGGTGTACTCCCCACATGGTAATGGACACAAGTCTTTTTGAAACTTTAATCACAAAGTCCAGAAAATCATTTTTTAAAACTCTTTGCTCTCATGTACATATTAAGACCATTACCCCCCACACCCTTTTTTTTCTAAGCCATTGCAGATACAACCATAAATTCTATTTCAGGGTGCATTTTACTCATACTGTGAGTGTGAATGTTCATCCTCTGTTTCTATTTAAAACTGATCATTGTTTTAGGACAGTACTGTCTGATAGGTTTATTTATTTATACAGCACACTAAGTCAGGAAATTGGACAGGCACGTTTCGGCATGCTATCCATAAAAATAATTACTATATGGTAAGATATTGATATTGTCATTTAATATTCTTTTAATTTTATACAAATACATTTATAACATATTAGAACCCCTGTGAGGCTTGTAGAATGTTTCATTCCCTTGTGCAAGTTTTATAAATCTGCTATATAGTCAGCATTTTTGAACTTTACAAATTAGCTTTCCAAAGATCCTTGGAAAATATTTCAGAAAGTAAAAATGTGTTCTTTACAAAGCCAAAGGCCATTCTCTTATTGCTGGATGGTTCTTATAATAAAAGCCTTTGGGTCAGCTGTAGAAAGAAATAAAAGTCACGGTTGCATCCATGTGAATGATAAGCCATATTAATGTAAATAACAAAATGTAAAGTAGAGCTGCAGGGCCATTGCAACTTTGCATGCTGAGATGGTGTGCTATAATCAGGGAATGCTGCAGCAATTTCCTGCATGCATGTAGATGTTTTCAGGGCTGTCAAGTTACAGATCACTTCTTGTGCCTCTAGTTGGTAATGGACAACACACCGATTATATGTCATGTTGCCCTTTATCATGTGTACAACCCACAATGAAAATATCATGTACATTGAATGATCTTTTGCTCATAATGTCTGTTCTTGTTACCAGTACATGATGCTCCGACTGTGGCCTGGCATTGGCATTTAGTTGTATTTATGCGTGGAGTCTTATCAAGAATGCCAAGTGTGGAGCAGATTGGACAGTGTGCATTTGAGTTGGTTACTAAATGGCACTAAAATTTACTCTTGACTTCAAAATGGTGGATTTCCTTTTTGGTTTAGGACTTGCCTACAATTTTATTTGTATTTCTTAATGTGTGACGTGTGTACCAAACCCTTAAAATAATACAGAATTTTTAAAACATGTCACAGGCCTAGCTAGTATTAATAAATATAACTGACCCAATAGGGCGTCCCCAGTGTCAGTGCTCAGTCCCAATGACCTTAAAAATAACACCTTACTTGAGCAAACAATGATATGTATGGGTGTTTCCTATTTTCCATTCAAGAAACCTGATTATCTACTTTAATCCATCTGAAAGAAAATATGTATTTATGATTTATGTTGACTTCTGTCCTACTATGACTCAGTGCTGAACCTGACGCTGATTGACCTCCCGGGAATGACTAAGGTTGCTGTAGGAGATCAGCCACAAGACATAGAGCACCAGATCAGGGATATGCTGTTGCAATTCATTACCAAGGAAAGCTGTCTGATCCTGGCAGTCACTCCTGCCAACACTGATCTGGCCAACTCGGATGCTTTGAAGATTGCAAAGGAGGTGGACCCACAGGGTAAGCGTGCATCTTTGTAGTAGTCTAACATTCAAATAGCAGGCCTCCAAACCCAAAGTTTTAATTAAAAAAAAAACAAACACTTTAACATTGCATGTTATGATGCCTATTATCTTACTTTTAATCTGCTACTCCCGTTTCATCTGCACTTTAGTGTGGAGCAAGTCTCCACATCTTATTTTTTCGCCAAAGGCCTCTGCCAGTGATGAAAGACACTGATGTAATATGTATTGTTGTGAACTGTTTGGAGTTACCAGGATTTGTGATTTAATTACACATAACATGTGTTTTGAGCATCATTACATAGTTATACACAAACATCACCTGACTAAAGTAATAACACAAAAATCCCCTAATTTTCATGTAAATGGAGAACACATTGACTAGTTGCTTGAAATGTGTAGTGAACTATGGTTACAAACCCAATTCCAAAAAGTGTTGGGACGCTGTGTAAAATATAACTTTAAAACATGAAATGATTTTTAAATCTCATAAACCTATATTTTATTTACAATAGAACACAAAACAAAGATCATTTAAGATGGACTGAGGCAAAGTGAAAACGTTTCTGAGGTCAGGCAAATCAATTAAAAACATTTGCTGTATCATTAAATCAAAAATATGGTAAAGAAGACCCAGGACTGATGAGCATCTGAATTCCTAAAAGGTAGATGGGATCCTACACCGTAGTAAACATGGCCCTGTCTCAGGTTTTTGTTGTTGTTGTTGGATATTTCCTGCCATCAAATTAATTTTATTTTTTTCCCTTAAATTAGTACCTTTTCCCAGTTAGACACATACCATGTTTTTATAGTCTTATCTGAATGAAATATTACTCTGAGATTTGTAAATCATTAAATTTATTTCCATGTTGGTTACAAATATCACATTTCTGAACGTTTGTATAACTACACTTAATTATGTGCAGGTCTGCGTACCATTGGTGTTATAACAAAACTGGATCTGATGGACGAAGGGACTGATGCAAAGGATATTTTTGAAAATAAACTTCTGCCACTGCGAAGGGGTGAGGATTATGCACATACTTACAGGAATATGCATTTACTTGGCTTTAATTTTACACCTGGAATGACTCTGTGTGTGTGTGTGTGTGTGTGTGTGTGTTTGTGTGTTTAGGTTACATAGGTGTGGTGAACCGCAGTCAGAAAGACATTGATGGGAGGAAAGACATTCGTGCTGCTCTGGCTGCTGAGAGAAAGTTCTTCCTGTCTCACCCTGCCTATAGACACATGGCAGAACGCATGGGTACACCACATCTACAGAAAGCACTTAACCAGGTTTGCTAGTGGTTGTCTTTTTAAATTTTGTTTTTTAAAAAATGTTATCTTATCTCTGTCATGCCACCGATATCCTAAAAATAAAAGGCTACTTTTTTCTATAGCAATTGACCAACCACATCAGGGATACCCTGCCTGGTCTGCGCAGTAAGTTGCAGAGTCAGCTTCTCTCCCTAGAGAAGGAGGTTGAGGAGTACAAGAACTTCCGTCCAGATGACCCGACACGGAAGACCAAGGCTTTGTTGCAGTACGTGCAAATTAATATTTCTCCTGAGAGAAATACAAACAGCATCATTAATTATCTTGTGCTGAAATAAAAGTAGAAAGGTTGTGATAAAATGCCTGTTTTACTTAAAATCAATACCACTTTTTTTGTATCATTGATGTTAAGTACTGTTATTACAGATAAATTTGTTTTAATGAACAGCAAGCAGGGTATTCACAAAGCCACATGTGTCCTTCATCAGGATGGTGCAGCAGTTTGGTGTGGACTTTGAGAAGTGCATTGAAGGCTCCGGGGACCAGGTGGACACCAATGAGCTTTCAGGTGGTGCCAAGATCAACCGCCTCTTCCATGAGCGCTTCCCCTTTGAACTAGTCAAGGTTAGTACTGTAGCATAACATGCATAAAACAAGCAGTCGGACTAGGGATGGGTATCGAAAACCGGTTCTTGTTGAGAACTGGTTCCCACTGTTTCAATTCCTTGGAATTGTTTGCCATTTTTGCAAACGATTTCCTTATCGATTCCAGTTGCCCCGAAGGACGTCACCACGTTGCGGAGCGTCATTTACCTGGCAGGAAACATGGCAGCTCAAACGCTCAAAAGTTTGGTTATACTTTACGAGAACGGATGACAACAGGGCATCTTGCAAAGTAGATATTTCATTTAAGGGAGGAAACACTACGAATATGCAAAAGCATTTGCTCACAAAACATGCGATAACCTTAAATGAATGTC